TAAGTTACTTACAAGAAGTCTGCTAAGCAATTGACTCCAGCAGAAAAACTTAGCCTTATTTATGAGGAAAAGGCTTTGATGAAACAAAAGTTTTCATTTCCAGCAACAGTGAACTTGACAGCAGTGTTAATATTGTAGGAGAGAATGATGTTCTGGAGGCTCTGTGGGCAGAGAATGAGGTCCTAAACAATGCTGAAATCTAATATGGTTTTTTCATTGAATAAATTTTTTTTTAATATTTATGCTACAAGTACATGGAAGGACAAAAGAAGAATAAAATCCCTTGCCTTTTCTAGATAAATAAGAATGGAAAAATCTACAGTCCCCCCTTCCTCCAACACCTAAAAGTTTGTGAATTTTCTTAGGCATTTAAGATTTCATTACTAAATTCCAGTACTCCCGAGTCCCAAATACAAGGAAATTCTTAATTTTTGGGAAATTCCCCCTTCAGGTCTCCAGATATTTGGCAATCTGTAAAAATTTCAAAATTTATAATAAATCTTGTTTATTTGCGCAAGATGAAAAAATTATTTTTTCAAGAAATTAAATTTATATCCTGAAATCACTTTCAGTTTCCTAACTTTTTTGCTTGCACACATATCAAAAATAAGAATTATTAACTGGACATAACTTTTAAAAAAATGAAAGTCGTTAAGAAACTTAATTTTAAAACCACCTTGCAAAATTTTATAACAATCGAATGTAAATAAATATATTTGCTTTTTTGAAAGTTAAAGCGTTTTTAAATACCATTTAGCGTAAGGTTAATTTTTCTTTTTGGCAATTAAGAGTAAACTGCTTTTAATAATAAATGAACAAAAGTAAAAAAAAAATCAGTCCTTATAACTATCACGCAATTTTTAAATGAATGAACTTTTGATCTTTAGCTTGCTATTTTAGTTTACGTAAGGAAAAGGAAAAAACGAAGTATGATCTTTTTCAAACAGTTTTTTTCCTTTCAATATTCTTTTTAAAATAATAAAAAAAAAGGCTTTAATAACTTAATAAAAGTTTTATTTAGATCTGTTTAAAATAACCCATAGTAAATGTAATTTATTTATTCAAATGTAATTTTTTAAAATTATTCTTAATAATTAAAAATATATTTTGTTTTAAATATATTTTTAAAAATATAATATGGTTTTTAATCAAAATAATAAAATATTTTTTAAATCATGTTTACTGTAATTATATCTTTAATTATCTTTAATTTAAAAGGCGCCTTAAAATCACTTTAAAAATTATAACCTTTAGTAAAAGTTAAATGAACAATTTTACTAATATTTAAATCAAAATTTTAAATTTAAAATAAGTTAATTAAATGCTTATGTTTTTATTCGAATAGTTTATTAAATACGTTTATTATATACTTATCGAATTTGTTTATTAAATGCTTATGTTTTTAATTCAAATACAAAGACATAGCATGGTATATGCAACAAAAACATTTATTAAAATCTTAGATAAAATAGTTTTCTTTCAGCTAAAGTAACATCGTCCACCAGTAAATTCATGTATTCAAAAAATGCCTTTAAATCAACACCTTATTATAGGATAAAACTGAACAAGATAAACATAAATGATTATTAAGAAAATGATGATTAAAAGTTATTGTTGCTGCACCCGTTTAACTAGAGAAGAATGGGGGGGAGGGGGAAATCAAAAACATAATCCCCCCCCTTCTTCAAAACGTTGCTGAAAAAATACAGTATCCCCAAATAAACTTTGGGTTCTTCACTGTGTGTATATATATATATATATATATATATATATATATATATATATATATATATATATATATATATATATATATATATATATATATATATATATATATATATATATATATATATATATATATATATATATATATATAAATCACTTCCAACAAGTCTGTAACAAACCTAATATATAAATACATATATATATATATATATATATATATATATATATATATATATATATATATATATATATATATATATATTTTATATATATATATATATATATATATATATATATATATATATATATATATATATATATATATATATATATATATAAACATATATATATATATATAAAATATAAATCACTTCCAACAAGTCTGTAACAAACCCTAATATATAAATACGTATATATATATATATATATATATATATATATATATATATATATATATATATATAAAATATAAATCACTTCCAACAAGTCTGTAACAAACCTAATATATAAATACGTATATATATATATATATATATATATATATATATATATATATATATATATATATATATATATATATATATATATATATATATGTATAAACATATATATGTATATATATATATATATATATATATATATATATAAAATATAAATCACTTCCAACAAGTCTGTAACAAACCCTAATATATAAATACGTATATACATATATATATATATATGTATATATATATATATATATATATATATATATATATATATATATATATAAACATATATATATACATATATACATATATATATATATATATATATATATATATATATATATATATATATATTTATATATTATATATATGTATATATATATATACATCTATATATATGTATATATATATATATATATATATATATATATATATATATATATATATATATATATATATATATATATATATATTTATATATTATATATATGTATATATATATACATATATATATACATCTATATATATATATATATATATATATATATATATATATATATATATATATATATATATATATATATATATATATATGCATATATACATATATACATAAATATATATATATATATATCTGTCTTTTCGGGCATGCCAACACGCCCACAAAAACTTCGGCAAGAGCCAAAATATATAAATCACTTCCAACAAGTCTGTAATATATAAATACGTATATATATATATATATATATATATATATATATATATATATATATATATATATATATATATATATATATATATATATATATATATATATATATATAAGATAATAACCCCTATGAGCAGCAACCATATTTGTATAAATGGGAAACTTAAAGATGATGGAGAGAGGCTCAAGCTTGGCAGATAAAGGAGTTTTCATTAACAATGCAATTGTTAATGAAAACTCCTTGCCGAAGTTTTTTTTGGATCTTGTCTAGAAGAGAAAGAACATAATTAGAAGAACCAGCCCAAATATGACAATAGAATTTCATACAGGGACGAATAAGAGATTGTAGAGGTAGAGAATGTAATTGGGAGTAAGATTATGTCAAAAATGATAAAAAGAAGCTACCTAAGCAGATGCTAATTTTTTAATTGATAAATTTGCAATTGATATTCCATGAGTGGTCAGTAGTAAACAATAATTTATATTATTGTATATTGTATATATTGTATATATGGTTTTCATGTCTAATCTATATTGTATAGATCCAATCTATATTGTATAGATTGCATATATGGTTTCCATGACAGGTCAGTAGTGAACAATAATCCAAGAAGTAAAGAAGAGGACTCAGTGAAAGGGTTGTCATTTATTATTATAGGAATGTTGACAGTACTGTGATAGTTACTGCGATTGAAAAGAGAAGATTTTTTGCAAAGACAAAGTTGATACGTCAGCAAATTTCGTCAGCCATAGATGTAATGATTAGGAAGATCATTTATGTAGATAAGAAACAAAACAGGATTAAGGATAAAACATTGAGGTACCCTATAAGTAACTGGAAATGAAGAAGAGTGTTGGCCTTCTAGTATAACTTTAGTAAAGTGCTCAAAAAGAAATTGGTGTATTTGGGAAAGTTTTAAAATTTGATAATCTCAAAAACTTTCCTAGATACACTATATGAACCAAGCTTATGGAGAAAACCAGCATGCTAAACTTTATTAAAAGCTTTGGATATGTCAAAACTTAAGTCTCTTGCCTCGCCGCCTCCAGCTAATGCACAACAAAATTTTTTAGCCACAGCACCTAGCAAGTTAGCCGAAGAGCAAGAAAATTGAAAAACATATTGATTGTGTGACAGTAAGTTATTTGACTCAAGATGTGATGTTAGAAATTTGTTGATCAAAAAACTTCTTGATCAAAGTCCTTGCTAATAAAACAGATAGAAGACTGATCAGACAATAGTTAGAGGGGTCAGACAGTTCTACAGAGTTTGAAAAAAATTTAAAGCTTAGTTGCAAGCAGACAGGAAAACAAGATTCAGTCAAGTACTTGTTAAATAGTTTAGTGAGAATTGAAAATAGTTCTGGAGAACACTATTTTAAGACTATAACAGAAATATTGTCTGGACCATAAGCTGTAGAAGAGTTTAAATGATGCCTGACTTTAGCAATGGAAGCTGGAGTGATTTAAATATCTAACAATGGATTAACCTGATTAACTGGAATAGAAGGAAGACCATCAGATTCAAGAGTTAAATTAAAAAAAAAGTTTTTTTTAAATAGTTCATTTTTTCAAACAAGATCAGTCTTATAAATTAGAGATGGAATGTTAGTTTTGTTAATGATGCTATTGACAAATACATGGGTTGCAACCCTTGTATTTGTTATGCAAGATTTATAGCAAAGTTTGCATAAAATTTTATATAATTTTGGTACTTTGAACCAAAGAGTCCTACTTTAGGCTTTTTAGACCTGGTTACATTGTTAATTCATTCAATAAATATTGTATCAGATTTAAAAGGAAAGAATTGAAGCACAATAACAAAACAATAACATTATTGTCGTAAGTGCAATGTGCATTTTTAAAATTATAGATCATTTTAATTTTATTCATTTGAATGAATCTAATCGAGTAGAATCTAATACAAATTTCAATTTGTCTTTTTTGATTTAAGAATATTTTTAAGTTAAAAATATACTTAAACTTATTTTTATTATCTAAATTATATATTTTAATAAATAATTTAGTATATTTTAACAGAATTTAGTAAATTGTATTATCAGATGAAAACATCTTACCAGGTAAAAAATCTTTCATAAGAAATTTAAGTTTTTTCAGATTGTACGTAGTCAGCTCATCTGCCAACTTTGACAAAAAAAATGTATACTCACTAAAAATAGTACTAGAACCTGATGAGTTGTTAGCCATATGAAATTTAATGACAAAAAAACTGTATAAACAAAAACAAACAACCTAAACTTATTAAAATAAATATTCCGATCACTAAGATAAATTTGGTGAAATTTTGCGTAAGTAATATTCTACCGTTTAACCTTTTCAAATTTCATGTTTACGATAAGTGTTTGCTGTTGTTATTGTTGTTTTTCGCTAATTTTTAATTTCTCGTAAGTCTTAAATTTTTCTAAATTAAATTTCTCGTAAGTCTGACTATTTTTATTCGTTTTTACGCGTTTTAGAAAAGTGGCAATTTTTTTGACATCTTTAAGACGTTTTTACAACGTCTTAAAGTTAGTCAATACGGCTTTAATATTATAAGGGTATGGCAAATAATAAACTTTTTCAAAAAGTTCAAGTTAACAGTGTTTTCATAGGCAAAATTCGCGGAATTTAATCATGGAAAGAAATTGCTGCTATGCTAGCATGCAGCTAGCATGACAATATAGGTAAGAAAGGGGCATTTTTTTCAAGATGGTGGTCAAAAACAGCAACTGCCTCAAACTTTTTTTTTTGTTATTTATTTTTTTTTTAGATGCCCCAAGAAGTCCTTACGGTCTTTTTTTTGTTTGTTCGGTATTACAAAAAATACAATATTTATAAATATATCAATAAGAAAAATTACATGCAAAGAAACCGTTAAAAAATAAAGAATAAAGATAAAGAACACGGATACTCAAAGAAGACCATACAGGTCCTGTCACCGAGATTCGCTGTTGAAGAACTTTGAACTTAATTTAGATTTTAGAAAAAACAAAAATAAATAAATACAATTTTTAAACTTTAGTTATGGTCTTTATGACTTGAATTAAAATACTAATTCTTCTGAATCGCATGACTCAAGCGAAAACAATAATATCATCATATTCTTGATAAACGAATACGTCTTGCATCTTACTCGCATCTATACGATCACTGAATCTTGTTACTCAAATGTATCTTACAATTACACTAATTTTAATTGTTAATTAGCTAATAAATAAGCGAAAATAATAAGAATATGACTGCACTAGGTACATCCGAATGCACTTCAAAGCTGTCAAAAAGATTGTGTAGAAAATTTTAGAAAGCCAAATGTTGGTACGATTACGTTTATGCTTCTACCGGAAGCATAAACGTAAAAAAAGGAAGCATAAATCGTAAAAAAAAGGACTCAGAATGCTAGTGGGTTCAAGGGGCCCACCGGAAACCACATAATGTAATTTAATTTTTGTATCTCTTTCATATTCTGTATTATCTATTTATGGCTAAGAAACATGTCTGTTTCAGTGCTTATCAGAATTATTAACTTTTTTAATGACTCTAGCAGGTGTTGGTTCATGGCTGATCTTAACAAATTTTCGACCGTGACCAAACTTCTACTTCTTTTGTTTTCCTCGTCGCATTTTTTTTGTTACAAATTTGCTTGTTTACAATGCTGTAAATGATTGAAAAGCACTGGGTCATATTTAGCAACAACCTTAATTATTTCAAAAAATTTACCTTGGAACAGACCGGTCTTATTTAAGTCATATGCAGCCTCGTTTTCCTTGGAATGTCAAGTTTTGTGAACCGATCAAATAAATAATATCAATAATTCTTTTTAAAATTTGTTTATTTCTTATAATATGTTTTTGCCGACGATCGTCATGTGTTGTTTCTACGTCTCTACCAACGTAACAACGGAATAACGCTTGAACTGGATTTCCATGATTCAATAAAGTTTCATGTTTGATAAACCTGTTGTATGCTGAAATTAAAACCTAGAACAATGAAACTAAAAATAAATTTAGAAACTGCTTAGAAAAATGTCTAAAGTCTACTGAGCTGAGAGGTCCCCTAATTAATAGTTAAAACTTATACATAATATAACTGAAATAATTTTAAGCTTTGATCATAGTTTGTGTTAATGAATCTGACTGAATCTAAGTGAAGACGGGAAGGATTGGCTGTGGGTTGGCTGTGGGTTGGCTGTGGGTTAAGCACCAAACTACGAGCTTTATTATTATAATACAAATAACACTTACATAAAAAATAAAAATAGTATAGCAATTTTTGTTATAATGTAATATATTGCCTTAGTCTGATACTTGTTAAAAATGGACTTTCACTGTTGATCGAAATACCATTCCAGTAAAAGAATAAAGATAGTTATTTTTTATATTATATGACAACTATTTTCGTTGGACCATTTTGTCACCATTTGGCATTGTACGATAAAACGTTTTGATTGAATCAAATGGAAGAATCTTCCGTCACTTGGCAATGGTTAAACAGGGTGATTTTTTATTAAAATCTAGTTTTGTAATGAATTATCTGTTTACAAAATAGCAGAATAAAATATTCTTCCAACTCACTTGTTGTTTGACCATCTTCTTCAAGTTCATCATCACATGATACGCTTGTTGAACCAGCAACAACTGCAACACCAACACAGTTGCTAGTGGTGTCATATATTATATTTTCATATTCAGAATCAGGTGATTCGATTGCATCTTTAAAAAACTATTATGTTTCAGAAATCTCACTTTGAGAACATGACGTTATAGTAATTGTTTCACTTTCACGTTTTTTTGTTTATAAAACTTTTTTTTTTAAATCATTTTTTTAAAATCTAAAGAATTAAACAGACATTTGCTCCAAAAAAGATAAAGATTGCAATACATCATCGTAATCTTTACACAGAGCCTCTATATAAAATTTTGACAAGGTATAAATACAAAGTTAAATTGTGTACTATTAACTTCACAAAATCGACTCTCCAAACAGTCGATTAGAGAATCTAAGTATGGAATCTAAATTGTTTGTCTAAAGAATTCTTCAACACTTATAGTTCCTGGATTACTTCGATGCTTTTGTCTTCCGCACTGTCTTGGAATAATCAGTTCAATATTCAACTTCTGTTCTGGTTGTACTGTTTTCTCAAAAATATCCCTGAAATAAATATTGGAATCACCTCAGTGAAGTTTTACAACACTGAGTATTTTTTGAACTTGCAATTGGACTTCTGGAAGATCAACTTAAACAGATTGAAGAGCCTAAGTAACTGGTTCAAGTATGGTTAAGTACTGCGAAAAAATATGAAGACAAAATATAAATGTGCTGGATTTTGATGAACGATAAAGCTAATGTCCAACTTGCCGAGTATTTCCATTTGCATGCATTAGAAATTCTTCCAGCTGAAAAAAAATTCTTTAAATTTACTACCAAAAACTCGAATACTTTTATACTTGCTTGTCCATCTTGTCTCGCATAGAAGAGGAATATTGGGAGCAGAAGATCTCCTTTTTGGACTTTCCCGAAAATTTAAATAACTGCTTTAATAGTTCCAATAGTATTTCGTATTACAGCAACATCATTTAGATCATTAACTACAAAATTGAGTCTATGTGAGGCAGAGTGAACAAAGCCGGCTTTAGGGTAAATCCTTTGAATTTTTGCCAGAACACCGTTTTCTTTTCCAGCCATTGTGGAGCACCCATCATAACCATGACCCAACAGATTATTAAGGAGAAGGCCTAACATTTTGCAACTTTGAATAATACAATCAGGTATTGTGGCAGCGTCCATACCTTTTAGCAGTGAAAATCTAAGAAATTCTTCATGAATTATAGCCTTCTCACAAGATGTATCAACAAACCTCCCAGTGATAACTTTTCAGTTCCAGAAATATCTGCTGTTTCATTGACTATGACCAAAAATTCAATAGCATTGTTGGCAGCTCTAACCACTGTGGTCGTGGCGCAGTGGTTAGAACTTTTACCGACTAAAAAAAAAAAAAGGCTCGTTTTTTAAAATTTGCCGACTGCCACCCAATTTCCATAACGACGTTTGCCGACTGACTGTCTAAATTTACCTACTAACTTATCAAAAGGGTCTATATTTGCCGACTAACTAGTCAAAAAGGGTCAAATTTGGCGACTAAATGAACGAAAAAATCATTGATGGGGATTACACACCCCCACACCCCGTATCGCGCCGGCCTTGTGTGAATATGCACAAACACACATATATAAATACATATATATACATACATAAACACACACATACGCACATACACATATAACATATACATATACACATACACACATACATATATATATATATATATATATATACATATACATACACACATATATATATATACATATACATATACACACATACACATACACACATTAATAAGTACAAATATACACATACATGAGTATAAATATATACACACAAAAAGTAAAAAGCGAGAAAATGTGATTTGTGATAATGGTTATTGTCAATAAATATTTAACTTTTTTTTTTAATGATTACAAGGAACAGTTACCTTGTTTTTATTTATAATTGATATATATGATCTATTTTAAAAGAAAGACTTTAAAATAGATCAGATATATCAATTTTATTAAAAGAAATAATAAAATAAATCAAAATCTGTATCAAAAACTGTTTTGAATCAGTTTTGAACTGATGTAGAGAAGTTTTCTTTTCGGAAACAATGTTTGGGAATCTTTTCCACAAAAGTGGTCCGCGATTCTGAATTGAATAAGAATTCTGTTTAGAATGAGATTTTGGAATAGCAAAGTGGTTTGCGGAAAATCTTGTAGCATATTTATGGTGTATTTCTTTAAAATAAGTTTCAAAGATTTTTGGGGACAGTCCATATTTTGTTTTATACATGAACTGTAGAACAAGATGGATATTAAGTTTAAAAATATTCAAGGCACCAATTATGCGTAAAAGAGGTTTAATTATACGTAAAAGAGTTCGATTATACGTAAAAGAGGTCTATGGTCAATATGTTGGTAGACATACGCTCTTAGCTTTAAAATTGTTAGATGACACTGTTAAAAAACAGACTTTAGAGTAAAAAAACGATTTTGGAGTTTTTTGATGTAAAATTCTCAATTCAATGTAACAAATTACAATTCAGATCCTTTGTTATGAATTACTCAAATATGAAATACTACTCAAACCTACTAGAGAAGTTTAAACGTAACTCAAAGCGCATGTGGCAAGTTTTAAATGAAATCACTGGCAACCATGTGATTAAAACATGCAACTTACATCATTGTTTTTAATAACTTAAAGGTTATTAGAAACAATGATGGTTTCATATATAATCCAA